CAATCGTTTCTCAATAACCAAGAGCCCAGAGTAACAACAGAGTATTAACTCTGTCAATCATGCATGTGTACACACCGCCTGTAACCTAAAGTTACAGGAAAACTAATTCTGCTGTTCACTAGCGGTGGAGCGAGGACTGCAGTGCAGCACAGCGACGGTCTGTGGTTTTCTCTGCAGCTTTAAGCAGGTGAATCTCCAGTGTTTTCTTCAATGAGGCGATTAGACTCAGGAATCAGGTGAGGATCTCAGTTGTCTTGGAGAGGTGGAAGGAGGATCTGGACGGTTGGAGAATTTGTTCCAGAGTTTGCTGAGAAGAGTACAGCTTCTTTCTGGTCTTGACGTTTCTGGGGACAGAAATGTTAAAATTATTAAGTCAGTTAATAATATCATTGCAAACTAGATCTTCTACATCAGGACACTTCTGGTTCTGAAGGAGAAGCAACACATTTAAACCCTTTTTGTTAATGTTATAAAATACATTGACTAATCTTTAGATTTTTAAAACGTGAATCAAGGACTGATTTCCTCTAATGAGGCCGTTTACTAGTCTGGCATTACGACTCCATGCTTAATTAAGATTCAAACATAAAAACCTTAAAATAAACCTTGTTTACGGTGCTGGACTAACTTCTATAAACACATGAAAATCTGAAAATGCTGAACCAAACATCTCTGAGATCAGATCCGTTCTAACATGCTGTCAGAAAAAACTGATACATTTAAACACCAAACCAACAGGCTGGAGGCAGTTAGGAGGTAATATTTATGGTGTAATAAATAGATGGACTTACCTTCTTTAGATAGCACAATAATCCAACGGCAGCAGAAGCAGCAATGATGGCAAGAATAACAAGAGCAGTAGAAACAGCAGGAGAAGCAGCAGGAGCAGCAGCAGGAGCAGCAGCAGTAGAAACAGCAGGAGAAGCAGCAGGAGAAGCAGCAGGAGCAGCAGCAGGAGCAGCAGCAGGAGAAGCAGCAGGAGCAGCAGCAGGAGTAGCAGCAGGAGCAGCAGCAGGAGCAGCATCTGTGGTATCCGTATTTTGGTCTGAAAAGATAAAACGAGAGTGTGAGGGATTTACCCCCTCCCTAAGAGGTGCTGTTTTTCATATTCTGGGTTATTTGGGTGAATGTATTGTTTTGGGGGGTGGTTTGATTTGTTTTAATCAT